TACAGTGTGTGACTGACAGGCCTCCTGACAGTTAGTTCCACATAGGCTCCTTCCCCATAAAGTTGTGCACACACATCAGCATCTGTGTGTGTCAGAAATGGCTCCAGGACAGTCAGCTTGAAAAATGCTTTAGTCTTTATTTGTATGTATTTTATATTTCCCAGAGTTTATGTCACCATGACGTTTATAGAGGTTGCTGGCATTAAGTCAGTGCCAGTCAGACACTTGATCTGATAATAAGACATTTTTAGGGTGTAACAGTACAAGCAACCCCTACAAAGGAGTTGATACTTGAGCTAGCAGTACTCACCAAAAATATCACAGGCAAGAAACACAACAGAGCCACTTAATCTGCACAATGTATTATATAGTCAGTGCAACAATACACAAATGCGGGGTGTGAAGGGGTTAATAGCTCAGCAGTACCAAAGCTGAAGGAACATGTACTACATGAGAGAAGCTGTGTCTTCTGTTGTTCTACATTCATGCTCGCAGGCCAAATGTTTTGACCTTTCTCACCCCACCACATGGCGTCCTCTACCTGAGACCCCAGCCTCCTCCTCCATCCCCAATCCGGCAGAGCAGTTCATCCATGACATTCTAATCTACTTGGGAAAGGGGAGTCTGGGTTTCGCTTGGAGCTCTTCCTCCTCTCTCCTCCTCTTCATATTTCAGCCCTTCTCTGCAGCCAGTCAGTGTCATTACCCTCCCACAGAGCGCACTGATGTCCTTGTGGCAGAGCCTAGCCTTATTCACACTCTCTCTCTCTTCTTTCTGTTTGCCCTCACAGTGTCTTCTCCACAAAATGGGCCGCAGTTATAAAACTGCACTTTAATATTTAACATGATGGTAAAGACACATTTAAGTACCTGCCTCTACTGCCCTGTCCATCAGTGAGCAGTTTCTCTTCCAAAACTGAAGTATGTCAACCTGATCTCACAGTAATACGGGAAATGACTATGACCACTTGACACTGCATTCCATGGTGCCAGCGCGTAATGTGTCAAAATTACGTGCTGGCACCATGGAAACACCTCTAGTGGCCGTAGTCATTATGACTCGAGCAGTACAAAGAGCGAGAAAGACCACATATGAAGGTGGTGGGGTAGATCAGTGGTTCCCAATCTTTTTCTTCTAGGGACCCCTTTATATAATTATTAGGGACCGAGCACTGACCAGTGCAAGGCCCTATTGTTTCTCTAGGAATTCTTATTTTCTGCCCCTTTGACTGCATATTTGGCGGCCGCAACATGCTCCAAAAGTCAGGGAAAATGGCACAAAATTCAAACGTAGTGAAAGTACCAGTATGCAATTGTCCCCTGTACGGGCGCCGCCAAATGGCTAAGCCCCGTCCCCCCGAATCAGCCCTCAAGACGCGTAAGGTCGACACAAACGAAAATTGGTACGCATGTGTATCTTGATTAAAAAAAGCAGAAAAGCCTCTTGGACCTATACCTCAAACCCAACAGGAAGTCGGCCATTTTGGATTTAGCGGTCATTTCTGGCAATTTGCACACGTTGTATTTGAACAAACTCCTCCTAGGGAATTTATCGGATCGACTCCACACTTGGACACACCCATCTAAACACATTCACCATTAAAAGTTGTGCTATTTACGTTATTCCGTCGAACAGCATGTAGGTGGTGTGGCGTCCCATGGCATCCAATTTCGATCCTTCGCCATAAAAAGAGGGATTTATCATAACTTCTGCATACATGATCCCACTGCTACGAAACTTCACATGTTTGATAAGAGTCCCGCCCTGAACACGGCTATGTGACACACAAGGTATTGTCTTGGTCCCGCGGATGGGCGTGGCATGGGCGTGGCATAATGGATTAGCCACCCCCCCCCCAGAATCAGCCCCAAAGACACGTAAGACCGACATGTATGAAAATTGGTAGGCATGTGTATCATGATGGGACAAGCAAAAAAGCCCCTTGGACCCATAACCCAAACCCAACAGGAAGTCGGCCGTTTTGAATTTTGTGGTCATTTTTGCGTTGTATTTGAACGAACTCCTCCGAGGGAATTTATCAGATCAACTTAAAATTTAATCAGCGCAATCTAAAGACATTCATGATTAAAAGTTGTGCTATTTACGACATTCTGTCGAACGGTGGGCCCGCGGCGTTCACCATAAACAGATAGTACTCAACTTCAGTGTACAATGTCCAATCTCCACTAATCTTCACATATTCTGTAACAGTCCCACCCTGAACACATCCTCATAACTTCAGTGTACATTATCTGATCTCAATGAGTCCCGCCCTGAACACGTCTACGTGACAATATTCAGATATAGTGAGAGCGCCACCTACTAGCAACAGGAAGTAAGCGCTGCATGGCAATTTTGATCTGATTTACATGAAATGGTCATGTTGTGGGCCGCACGTGTTGTGGTCGGCACGTGACCCGGCATGCGCCGGCTGCGAGGTCCCGTTCAATGCTGCTTGCAGCATTAATTGAGTTTTTTAGCACACCTTAAAACCAAGACCCCCATGAAGCTGTGGTGACCCCTAGTAAGTATGTAAGTAAGTAAAGCTTTATTTATATAGCACCTTTTTGACACAGAGATCCAAAGTGCTTTACAAACAACAAATAAACATAAGGGTATAACCATACCCAATCACACAAACATAGGGAGCATGTAAATACAAACAAAGGAAGATAAGACAAGAGCGAAGGATAAATTAAAAGGGGGATGACAGATGAGGAAACAAACAAAGAGATCTATAAAAAGGCTTGCTTGTAGAGGAGGGTTTTGAGCAGCCACTTAAAACAGTCAACAGATTCAGTGAATCAGAGTGATTGGGGAAGACTGTTCCACAATGTTGGGGCTAAAACAGCAAAGGTACAGTCACCTTTAGTTTTACAGTTAGAGCGTGGAACGGATAAAAGGCCGAGATTTGAGGAGCGGAGTGGCCAAGGAGTGGAATGAGGCACAATGAGATCTGAAATGTAACTGGGGGCAAGGTCATGAAGTGCCTCATCAGTAAGATCTTATAGTTGATTCTGAATTTTACAGGAAGCCAATGAAGGGATGCGAGAACAGCAGTAATGTGGGACCGACGGCTGGTTCTGGTTAAAAGTCCGGCTGCATTTTGTACTGACTGGAAACGGTTTAACAAAGCTTGACTGAGGCACGTGTCGAGGGAGTTACAGTAATCTAGATGGGAGAAAATGAAGCTGTGAATTAATTTTTCAAGATCTTTGGGGGGTCCAGACCACCAGGTTGGGAACTACTGGGGTAGATAGAACAAACAAACACAGGACTTTTACCCAGAGGAAGAGACGTAACATGACATACTTATTTGAACCCAAACACGATCTTTTTCTAAACCTAACCAAGTAGTTTTTTTGCCTAAACCTAACCAAATTGCAGCTGTTTTACAAAGAGCAACCACATGTTTATTGTCATGTGACAGAAAGGATCCTAACTGACTGTCCACTGGTATTGTTTCCGTCACATAATGTGCAATCACCAAGGAATGCGGTGTTAAGAGGTTGTGGTCATTTGACATTTTTCTGTGAGATCAGGTTGAGTATGCATATTCTTAAAACACTCTTAAAAGACCAGTGTGTAAGATTTGGTGGCATCTAGTGGCGAAGTTGCTGAACTGACCGGTAGGTAAAAACAGATCATTCCAAGGTAACAGAAACACAATGATTCCTAAATTCCTGCGATTACACACTAATGAAAACATGCCTATGAATATTAGATTCTATTTCTACCAATAGATCCTCCTAAATGTTACACATTGGACCTTTAATCCAAATCTGTGGAGAACAAAAGCCTTGCAGTTTGCTTTGAAGAAATAATGTGTTTAATATTAACAGTTATAAACTGAATCCATTGTGAAGTTTAGTGCTGGGACACCTCCATACGACTCAACCAGCTGGCAGTGAGACTGTCCATTAAAACAATGTTTCTCAAATGGGGGTACACATACACCTAGGAGTACTCTGGAGTACTGCAGGGGGTAGGTGAGATCTTAATTTTAAAAAAATGCATAATTCATGCATCATTTCTAAAATAATTTTACTGTAATAAGTTTGATAAACCACATTTTATATTCAATATTTCCATTTTTCAATGCAGTCGTTAACTGCCGTAAATTATCAACTGCCCTAAAACCTCTGATTACTGTAGTTTCCTCCCTCCCACTGAGAATAAATGACTGAAGATCCTGGTCAAGCACATGTTTCTCATTAAGTGCCACTTAAAACTTCAATGAAGTCTCAGTGTTATTGCATGAGAACAAAAAATTGGTCTGTCATGAATTTAGTGATGGATTTTTGAAATGCAGCATCTAAGTGCTTTTCAATTACAAGGTTGTGCTGTATTGTACCCCCTTATTACAGGATTTTTTATCAACCAAAAATGTTTTGCGCTGGTCAGGGAGTACTTTGCTAAAAATGAATTTCAAAGAGGGTACAATATCAACAAAAAGTTTGAGAACCACTGCATTAAAGAGCTATGCCACTCATTGCAAAACATTATCACTATCACTGCTCATTTACAAAGCCTATAGTCAACACTGAATCACAAAGGGCTAAAAATATCTCCTGCACTACTCTGTACAGGTATTAGCTCTCAGCAGTGTGGCACATCTGAAAACATCCTCTACTGGTTGTGTATAGGCAACTGTTTGCTAACATGTGTAAGGTCATAATGTGTCAGATATTTTTAGCTTATCCTTCTGCCATCACGTGGCCATCAGTTCAATTTATGCAGCTGTAAAATTGGTGAGTATTGTTTGTTAATAAGTGTTAAAATAGCTCAACATTCTGACAGCCACTGGTTTGTGTGTTCAGTCAGTAACCTTAGGATATATTGCTAGGTTGTCTATTTGCTATTGTGTTTTAAAATCTCCTCTTTCAGACAGAATGAACATGTGTGTGATGTTTGTATTCCCACAGCTGCAACATGTGTTCAGGTCAGCATTAACCTGTTCTACTGATGTCTAACCACTCTCTCCCTTTGTGTTTCCTCAGACCTGCGGCGAATGACAGCAGGTTTCATGGGCATGGCAGTGGCCATTATCCTGTTCGGTTGGATCATTGGCGTGCTCGGCTGCTGCTGGGACAGAGGCCTTATGCAGTATGTGGCCGGCCTTCTTTTCCTTATGGGAGGTGAGTCACACACAAAACACTGTAGTTCAACAGTTTTCTTTTAAGTGGTTTTAAAGGAATATTTAAATGTTGTTGTTGTTTTTTTGCTTTCTCTTTAAAAGATGAGCAGATTGATATCTGTCTAATTTATGTGTGTTAAGTTGAAGTCAAGACATAGTTAGCCTAGCTTAGCATAAAGACTGGAAGCCTTTGTTTGTATTAGACATCTTTTTAAACATGTGGTTTAACAATGCAAAATGGTGACAGTTGGCTTAGGTTTAAGCCACATAACTACTTGGTTAGGTTAAGGAAAACATCATGATTTGGATTAAAATAACTGTGCTATATGAAGTTATGTACATAAAGTTATGAAATTTTAAATTACTTTTAGTTTTGGGGTGCCCTGGTAGCTCACCTGGTTGAGCTGGTGCTCATGTGCCAAGGACTGGCAAGGGTTCAAGTCCGACCTGCAGTTCTTTGCTGTGAGTTATCCCCTCTCTCGCTCCCCTGCTTTCCTGTCTATCTTAAAGCTGCAGGAGGTAACTTTTATAAAAATGTCTGAGAAAGATGTGATGTTTGTTGAATCTCATTCCCAAAGCACTTGTATTTGACAAACTAGGGTTGATACTCAAAAAAGAGTCTCTGATTGGTTGTTGTTATTCAGGCTGTCAGGATAAAGTGAAAGTTTCAGCAAAAACAAAGTTACTTTTTTATAAAAGTTACCTACTGTAGCTTCAAGCTGTCCTATCATATACATATACATATCCATATACTGATCAGCCATAACATTATGACCACCTTGGCACGTTGTAATTTTATGTAGCCCCATACCAATAAACTGTGTGTGTTCTGACACCTTTATAGCAGAACCAGCATTAACTTTTAATTAGCTTGTCTGTTGGATTGGAACACACAGGCCAGCCTTTGCTCCCCACATTCATCAATGAACCTTGGCTGCCCATGACCCTGTCTCTGGTTCACCGCTTTTCCTTCCTTGGACCACTTTTGATAGGTACTGACCACTGCAGACCAGGAACAACCCACAAGAGCTGCAGTTTTGGAGATGCTCTGACACAGTTGTCTAGCCATCACAATTTGTTATAATAATATATCCCACCCAGGTGCCATGATAATGAGATAATCAGTGTTATTCACTTCATCTGTCAGTGTTCATAATGTTAGGGCTGATCAGTGTATATATATATATATATATATATATATATATATATATATACGTATATCCTCTCCTCCTGGGTGAAAGTCCTGAGTTTGTCATCCATCCACCTCAACCACCTCCTTATGTGTACTTCCTCACTCTTTACACTACGTCATCTGATGTGGATGGTTTACATTGGAGTTAGATGACAGCCCGCTGTGTCTTAGATGGTACAGGGTACCTTGTGCGCCTGTATGAGACACCAAGGGGCGTGAAAAAACACTGGCATATGACGCCCTGGGAATGAGAACAGGCTGGCCAGTTAGATAGAAAACACTGTAAACTGTAATGTGTGTATTTGTTAATAGTGGTGATTTAGACTGATGAATGAAAGTGTTGTATAGTACTGTGCATATCCAGCATCCCCCAAGTACAAGCACACACACACACACACACACACACACACACACGCACACACACACACACACACACACACACACACACACCACTCTGTGTCCCACTTTCTGGCAGTGGACAGTCAGTAGTAACTAACACACACACACACACACACATACACACACACACACACACACCTACACACACACACACACACACACACACACACACACACACACACACACACACACACACACACACCTACACACACCAATACGCTGTGTGCTGCACAGCTCTGGCTTGGCAGGAGGCAACTGCACACTCAATTATGATGGGCCTTGGATTAGTGCTGTGCCCTACAGTTGTATAATGAACAGGCAATTAAAAAGTCAATTATGTTGCTTGGCAATAAAGGCACAAGAAATAGGCTGGGTCAGTCTGCATTAGCCAAATCACAGCGAAGCAGCCCACAGGGTCACTGAGCTCCCAAAATGAGGCCAAATTTAGAGTCTGCACCTCCAACTGCTTCTACTGAACAGAGTCCAAAGCAAAGGGTTCATTTAGATGAGATAAAGTGGGTAGATTAATTAAAGATATAGCCAAACATTTAAAGTAAGGGTTGTCAGTAATTTGGTGGCACATTCTCCTTGTGTTCTCCTAGGTTATTGGCCATAGTGTTTTGGTGTTTAATTAGACTGAAGCCTTTTTTCTGGAAATACCATTTCATTAAAAGATCCAGTAAAGAAAAAGCAGAGAGATACATTTTTCAATCAAAAAAATACAGTGCACACACAGTCGAGTGATGAGGTTGGGGTTACGCAGCCAGGGCTCTGGAAGTAAAAGTCCTTTTCATTTAATGCAGAGACAGTATCAGGCAAAGGTCTACTGGAGCATTTCCAACACTTGATGGACATGATGGTTGAGTCATCAGTAAAAACAATTCGATGCTGAGCTGGGGAAAATTGTGTATCTACAAACAAACTGGCCAACACAAAAGAGACTTTTTTGTAACTTACTTGCCAGTCCCCTAAGACAATCCAACAAGTGTAATCTCTGCTCTGGAGTGTGGAGGTGAGAGTAGGCTGGGTTTTAACTTCACCCTCAAGCCCTTTTTTTAATTCTTCAAACAACTACTTCTGTAATTTTCTCGTGTGAACAAATGAGTACAACACCATAAATACCTTCAAGTAGAGATTGTCTGTATTTATTATTTTTTGTCTATTAGTATATACTGACCTGAGCAAAATGAATTTTCCTCTCGGTACAATAAAGAACATCTAATCCAATCCAATATCTCTATGGGCCGATAATGACATAATTCACATGTCAGACTGAGGTCACTGATCCACTTACTGATTCAGATTCCATAGTCGGATGGTTTTATGAATTATGTTATAATGTAATTTTAAGGCCATGGCCAAAATTTTGTTGCAAATGAATGAGTAATTAAACGGTTAATAAACAGATATCCACTATCTCCCAGAGTAAGACTTTGCAGTCTGAGCTTAAACCACTCGTTCCATGAGATAGTCTGTAACTGAGTGAGCTAATAACAGCTTGAACACGTTCAACTCAACATGTTCTTAATTTTGAGATATTTTGATCTCCAAACACAAAAAATCAAGACAACTACAACTATGTGTGTAAAGGGGACATTCCGAGGGGTAGAAGTTGTGTTGCATCATAAAACATCAAAATTCAGGTATCGTATACTGAAAAAAGTGGATTGGTGCATCACTATTTTGTAGGAGAGTTGTATATTTGCAAGATGTGGCCTAGCACCAATGATCAGTTACACAGCAGATGGTGAGTTTAGTACCTGCTTTTTACAGGTAGATGTCAGGGTTGTCATAGATTTGGGTTTGGTTGCTCCTTCACTGTGACACAGCCTTGATATATTTTTCTTCTATATTCTTCTGTCGTTTCAGGAACCTTCTGCATCATCTCACTCTGTACCTGCGTTGCTGGAATCAACTTCGAGCTGTCCCGTTACCCACGGTACCTGTACGGCCTGCCTGACGACATCGGCCACGGCTACGGCTGGTCCATGTTCTGTGCCTGGGGAGGCCTCGGCCTCACCCTCATCGCCGGCTTCTTCTGCACCCTGGCTCCCTCTGTTCAGCCGATACCCCGATCCACCTGCCCCAAGTCCAGACAGGAGAATGGCACCGTCTGCTAAAGCTGGCAGCTGTGAGAAGACCAACTGAATCCACAGATTGACAACAAACAGAAAAAACAGTTCCATGTCTTCATCCGTCCACTCATTTCTCATCTCTCCTGGTTACAGATTTTTAATTTTAGTTGTGTGTGTGTTTAAAAATGGGTGTCTTGATGATCTGCTATCTTGAAAATAACAGTAAAAAACCGAAGAACTTAAGAAATATTATCAAAAATTTGAAGTTGTGCTTGTTTTGTTGTTGTGGAGCAGATGCTGGAATGGACCATTACCCTGAAAGGTTGCAAAGGAAACAAGTGGAGACACTGAAAGACAACATTTTGGAGAGTGAATGCTTGTAGCAAAAGAGGGGAAACCCAACTGCTTCTATTAACTGGTCTACCGTGATTGTGAAGGACTCAATGAATCAGCAGTATTAGAGAGAAAACGTCAGATTGTTACGATCAAGTCATGGAGGTTTCTCATGGAGTTGGCCTCTTTAAGCCTCCTGTTGGATCATTCACAAGGGAATGGACCAGACATGAAACCATGTGACTTGCTCGGCTGGGATCATGTTCAGTGGCCATCTGTTGACTTTCAGTGTTCCAGCTTCTGAAGTCCGTCCAGTTACTTGGGACATGCGGGCAAAAAGGAGATCCAGGACCTGCACTGTTGTACATTATTGTACAGAATATTCCAGAGAAGAGACAACCAGGAACTGTCATGTTGGACCATTTTCATTCTCGTGTAGGTGCATTCCATTCTGTCTGATATGTCCCATATGCCATTTAGCATTTTATACATGCATTCCTCTTTTATTCAAAGTGTATTTTCCTTTTTACTGAACCCACCACAAACTGTCGACTGAGTGTACCTTCAGAGCAAATGTTGTGTTTGTTTGAATTGTTTCCCATTCTAGTCATAGAGGTTAATGTGTGTATGAGTGTGTGTATGTGTGGGGAGGCATTGTTTTGCAGTCTCTATTGAAAAAAGCTGAAAAAAATGATCAAAATGACAAAGTGGAGCCCTGCCTTGGGGATTTATAAAGGCAGGAGGATTGATGAAAAGACAGACGTAATGGAGAGATGTAGTATCTTGTTCAACCCAACTGACTTCTGCATTGTAATCTTTTCTGGAGATCCCCAGCACAGGCAGATGAGTCATTTTAAATTGGTGCGGCATGTTCAGCGCTGTATTCTGTTGCCCTGAGCAACTATGGAAGGCTTAAGAAATCACGTCTGATAAGAAGGCGCTCCGGCATTTCTTCCCGGGAATCTGTGAACATCGGCTGTTTCTCAGAGCACACAGCCTTTCCTCCAGCTCTTATTTTTTTTTACCGACAACCAAGACGTGGCATGGCTTTCTTTGTTACAATACAGTATCAAAGCACAAGGCTAAAAAGGTGTCATATTAACTCTAGACCGAAAAAGAAAAGCTAAGAATCCTCAAGGCTTCGGCCATCAATCATAAGTCGGAAATCAAAATACACACTAGCATGGGCTTGAATACTTCTATGCACATTAGGAAGGAGGATCATAATGCAATAAATAGGCCATTTAAACTCTCAACAGGACCAAATGCAGCAGTTAGTTGTACAGCCTTTGACAGAAGGCATCCAGACCTGAGCTTTGAACTCTAACATTACAAATACAATAAGCAGACACTCAAAGGTAGCGATACCACAGTCAATGTGATCCTCCATTGGAACCATGTATTAAACAACCATTGTATAGCAGATCCAGAAACAAAACCTGAACAGGGATCTGTTCAAGATAATTCCGGTTAATTACAACTTGGGTCTTGAACTGTGATAGACAGTTTGTTAGACACAACCATCTGGGAAGTTGTCATTGGAAACCGTTTAGAAAAGGGCAGACATTTTCAAAAAGTACTTGATGATTGGATGAACCATCTGTCCGCCTATCACAGGCGAACTTCAATCAATCAGATCAATGAATCATGTAACATAGTCAAACTCTTATTGAAGCCAGTCGAGAGAAGAGAGAAAACATTTTTTCATCAACATCTCCATTACATAGAGAAATGCCTTCAATGCCGTCCATTGCTCTTTTCTCAATAAAGAAATAGTCCCCAGTTCAGATATAACTGATGCTAGCAGCATCTACGCTAACCTCTTTAGCAGCCACTGTTGTTGTCTTCGAGCATACAGGTATTTCTCTCACATTAAACATTAAACCACACCCTTATCTCATGCGCCTCAAAAGACGCTGATTGCCCCGAACCACAGTGGTTCAGAGGACTGTCTAATCCATCTTGCCAGGCTTCGAGCTATGTGTTTGTGTCAGAACCACTGTGGTTGATGGATTCTAGCATGATATTGTCATCTCACAACTCTAGCTGCCTAGCTAGGTTATTATTTTTTAAAGCCCTTACCCCAATTGGAGCAGGGATTCTTACATTTTTTTAATCTGGGACACTGATTTGTAGTAGTAGTGTCTTGTCCATCTTGCCAGGCTTCAAGCTATGCGCTTGTTTCCAACGTATTTTTTATTTTGTAAACTCTTCTCCCAATTAGATCAGGGATTCTCTGGATCTGGGGACTGGCAAGCAAGTCAACATCAGTCTTGCAGACCTATGGTGTGTGGGAGGTGTGGTTAATCTCGGGTTACCTATGTTTTATGTGTTTAGAAACTACTGTCAGACACAGTCTTTGTTCTAAATTGAGACAAGTCAAATGATTCAGTCCAGTGAATGATGCTAAAGCTGCCAGTATGCTTCATCAGACAAAATTACAAAACAATTAAGTATAATATAATATAAATATATAATGTATTCCAACACATTCTCATCCCAGGTCGCCAAATATTGACACCATTTTGTCACATCCCTTTTTAACATGGAGTAAACATTGTAAAACAGGCACAGTTTGGTTAGGCCTGAAACTACTTGGTTAGGTTTAAGAAAACATCATGATTTGTGTTAAAAAAAGTAAGTTATGTGACACAAGTGTCTTACATGTCACATTGCCATTACTGCACATAGTCACATAGCCTACATAAGGTTATGAAACATAATACTTTAAATGACTTTTGGTTTCACACAGGACACAAACCCTAGCCTCCTTGGTAAAAGTCCTGTCCATCCACCCCAACAACCTCCTTACATGAACTTTGCCGTTACACTGAAGTTAGATGACAGCCTACTGCATCTTAAACAGACACTAAAAGGTAACTTGTGTGTCTGTATGGAGACACAAAGGGGTGTGAAAAACGTTGGTATTTGACGCCCACGGAAAGAGAATGGGCTGTGAATTCCAGGGACTACAAATAAAAAATGGCCTTTTGGCTAACTGTCATTTACCGCTAGTTTATAATGTGCTCTGTATCTGTTAAACAAAAAACAATAAAACAAATACTTCAAGTTCAAAATGAAGCCCTCAGTGTTTATACAGTACAACTGTAATTGTGTGTTCTTTTCAAATAACATCTTATGGTCCAGTAGCCAACACTGCTTGGACTGCAGTGACTGTTGGCATGTTTGCAATGTGTTGGTCTTTGTTGTATGAAAGTCACTGTGTGCCCAGATCTCAGAAATGACCTTGGTGAGTAGAATTGAATCATCAAATAATGGCTACAAAAATAAGAGCCAAGTTGTAATAAACCGGAATATCTATCAGCTGCTCTAACGCAAAACATTCTGGTGCCCTTGATGTGTTGCAGTTACATCCCATACCATGGGTGGTTTGCTGTATGCATAAAAGATTTCAGAGGTAGGATAAAGGTAGACATTGTGTGGTTGTGAATTTATTCAGTAATGTCATAGATAAAAAATGAAGTAGTTTTGTCTCTAAATTGAATTTACAGTGACAGTCTTTGTGGGGTTCTAAAGAAAACTGGGAGAGAGGGGAGGAGATTAGAGTGATTAGAGTGTTTAAGGCGACAGCTGCTATGTGGGTTACCATCTTTTTCACAGCTTCTTCAGTTAGCGATAGCACCTTCAAAGGGTTCCACTCATCCTCCTGTACCTAGCTAAACCTGTAAAGCCACAGAGCAGGTTAATGAGATCTGACATAGTCTGTGTTTTTATTGATTAGATCGTCAGTTTCTCCGCATCTTGGGATAATAACTTTTTTATCCAAAGCTGTTTCATCGTGGAGTCTTTCCTGAGAGGCTTCAGATCAGACCGAAGTAAAAGTGACAGATCATAAACTGCGTAGGTAGGCCAACACATAATCTCATAATAACATAATCTTTTATAATGACACAATGTCTTCATCATAAATTAACTATTTGAAAGGTCTTCCTTGAGATAATGAGATATCAAACCATTATCTCTGATAATGATCTAGAATAATAAAGATCACATAATGAACCAAAACTTGATTAGCAACCAAGGCTGCTTGTTAATGCTAACACCTATGTTACAGTATGTACAATACAAACCACAGTTTGACTTCAATTCAATTTAATTTTATTTGTATAGCGCCAATTCTTAACTATTCAAGTTCAATGAGGCCAGAGTTTCTCTTTGCAGTCAGGGTATATAGTTTTTTCAATAAGAGATGTTCCCTCGGATAAAAGCTAATAATGCAATTGAGCATGAAATTACTTTAACCGGACTTCAAGAGCTGTGGTGCTTAAACCTTCCTCAACAAAGAACTACACACACACACACACACACACACACAGGCAGTAACAATATGAGAAGTCCAAGGCATAAGAAGTGTGAGAGGAGTCGGGTGAGATGCTATTACTGAACTGACTTTAACGCAAAGTTCTACGTGTGCACGGTCCGACCCTATTAAATCTGACTGGTGCTGCCAAATTTCAGACCCCAACCTGACCCGAAACCCGAAACTATGTACAAATACGGCAATAGAGACTTTGGGAAAAAATAAGATAATAGAGTACTGGTTTGGCTGACCTCCAGAGCCCAGATATGAAAGTGTCAGGAAACTTTTGATTCATTATTGGTCATCAGACTTGCAGTACATATTTCTTTCAGTTGTCAAAGGGGAAATTCAGCCAGGAAACAAGGTGGAACAAGAGGATTTAATGGGGACAAATTAGTGAAAATATATATTTTTTTAAATAAAAATGTTACGGAGCATGTTTCTGTGTGTGGGTGAAGGAGGTAAGTATAATCGGGCGGTCAATCAGAAACCTCTGAAAACTCCCCTGTGGGCTCCATGCATTAGCGCTCCAGGCTAATGCAACAGATTGACTATATTCATTTGACACTGTATTGCCTATCTACCTGTAACACATGACACACATGGACACAGATGACTTTATGCAGCAATACACCCCAAACCTGACTGGACTTGGCTGGCACACGTTGGTTTTGGGAAACTCTATTAACATCCAATTTCTATCAGCAAAGGGAGATTGTTTTTCAGTTTACAACTGCTTTAATCCCACCCTGTAACCACCCTACGCCCCGGCAGCGGTCAAAAAACATTCACAGACAAAATTTAAAGACTTGTTTCCTGTTACGTATGTGGTCAAATTTAAAATGAGTACTAATAATGCCAAGTTAGCAGGGAAGCACACAGACTTTGAATTAGCTCAGACTGACAGATTGAACAGCCACTGAACACTTACAGCTCATCAGGCCAACTGATGAAGAACACAAACCAAGAGCTGGAGAGGTTTTAGGACAGAGATAATGCAGCTTCCATTGTGACCAGACGTTAATAACACGGATCTATCACGTTTAACATCAGTAATGTGTCTGTTGAGTAAACATAACATGGGAGAAAAAAAAAGGAACTGTTCAACTGTGGAATGTAAAATCACAGCAAAATAAATCTGTCGGTGTGTTACTAATGCTGTTGGGTGTCATGCATGTTGGCGAAGGGTGTGTGTGAAGATTTAAGGGTAAAGAGTTTTAGGTAAATTGTCTGTAAATAAGTTACTGTTCGCCAAGAATGGAAAAATTCACACACAAGAATAATTCAAGACTGTTTTTTTAAGTAAAGCCCCCCTCCAGTCAGAAATCTGTTTCTCTTCTTGTTCCTACAGTGTGCTGTTTGAATGCTGTCTGTGCAGAGTTTGACTCTAGAAGGATGTTTTCACATTCATCTGCTGAAATTGAAAATCAGATTTTAAAGCACAACTATTTTGGAGGTCAATCCTGGTCCAGTATGTAACCTGTACAGTGTGATCCACCAGTGCACATCCACTGGGAATGGACTTTACAGTGAAGTAGGAGACATCTTGTGTCCAGCAGGAAAACTTTAGAAATGAACAACAATTGCATATTGATATAATGAGATTGAAGGAATAGATGTCTTTTTTAAGGATTTTAATGTGAGTATTTTAACTTTTTTGTGGAAAAATATAGATATTATTGTTCCCAGCAGACTATATGTTACGACGGAGTATTAGGGCCATACTAAGAGAAAAAAATATTTTGTAACATTATGAGAATAAAGTTGTAATATTACGAGATTAAAGTCGTAACATTATGAGATTAAAGTCGTAATATTACGAGAATAAAGTCATAATATTACAAGAATAAAGTAGTCATTTTATGAGAGCGGTCAGCCTGTTGCTCAGCCAGCAAAACTGTTTAACAATAAAATGATCAATACGTTAGTTTACCTGTTGACTGTACGGTACGACTGAGACAAACAGCAGTTACTAGGCTCAGGCTGAGGCTGCTGTTTGGTTGAGCTGGTCAGCTTTATTCTCGTAATATTATGACTTTATTATCATAATTTCTGGCCCTAATACTTGCAAAAACACATACTTTGATAATATTAAATTAAATTAAATTGTATTTGTATAGCGCCCAATTCATAACAGAAGTTATATCAGGACACTTTTCAAATAGAGCAGGTCTAGACCGAACTCCTTATAAAATTATTATTATATTATTCATAACAAAAATAGAAGGCAACTTATTCCAGAAAGAATAGAGAACCTAGTGAGTAAAGGATCTGTGATTTCTACGTTCATACACTAACATTAGCACTAACCTTACACATTTAATCTAATTCAACTTAATTCTTTAAGCACTTAAAGCTACAGTAGGTAACTAAATAACTTCTTTGTTGAAACTTTCACTATATCCTGACAGCAGTACATGTGACAGATAATCTGTGAAAAAATCTGGTTCCTCTGGCTTTTTTCTAGTGCTCTTAATGGAATCTACTGTACCTAAAAGAAAACCAATCAGGACCAAGAAAAATAGTTGATTGTTGATTCCCAGGTTGTCAAATACTGACACTGGGAATAAGACTCGACAGTCAACTACCTTCAAGCCACCAACCCAAAGCCTTGTTCTGCCTTTCTCGGCTCTGATTGGTTGTTTCCATTCAAGCCTGGTAGATTCTTCCAAATGCCAGTAGCTCACTTAATGCTAAGAAAACAGCACTAAAAATGTCCTTGCTAAAAAGAATAAAATAAACCAAAATAATTAAGATTAGGTTTGTGTTGTGAACATCACAACCTCCTGGAGGGACTGCTATATGTGTTAATATGTCTGGTGGGGATATTTAAGTATCATCTCTGAACTCTGCTTGATGCTGTCAGCTTGCTTGGCCAATTAGCTAAAAAGGGGAATCACTTTTGTTGTCGAAAGTGTGAAAGTGTCATTAGTGAATTCAGTATGAGTGCTTAATTTGCTCCCGACATTATCTGCAAGCTGCTGCCTCCTCAGCGAGATAAAGCTTCTCGGCACGCACTGAAATTTGAGGTCTCTCCTTTCAGGTGCTTTTACAGGAAATGTGTCTGGTGTTCCATGCAGAAGCCTCAGTGGAAACCATCAGAGCTTCTCACAAGCTGCTGCTGCTGGGGAACATGAGACAACAAGAGATGGCTAGATCCCTGTTGGTTTGACAGAAAATGATATGGACTATATATGGTTCTTTTTTTTAACATTTTCATTTATCATTGTTGTAGGCCTAAATTGACTCTTACATTCTCCAGCTATAAAAACGTGTAGCCATTTACTGCCAAATAATAAAAACAATGTTTTAACATTTTGTCAACTAAAATCTGCATCATTCATTATGTCCCGACCTGGCTCCTTTTCCTGTATATTTCGCCGAACCGCAATAGTGGTGGCAAAAGTTGAGTCTATCTAGCTAGGCTGGCTACGGCATCTAACAGAATAGAACGCACTATTAATAGAGCTTAATAGTGCATGGACAGGTTGGTTTGCTGTCTTTTGTTTGATCTGCGGTGAGAAATTAGCATTATATGGCTCAAAAATGTTTTATGGTTCTAAACTGATTTTTTGATAGTAAAGGCTATTGACTTCTAGACTGCTAGTTCCCAACCTGGGGGTCGGCATCTCCGGTGGTCTTCCTGTTGCCTTGTAACCACAAACCACTTGTGTCAATGAGAATGAGAAGAAAATGCTGAATTTTTCAACAACAAAAAAAGCCTATTAAGTATGTATGATTGTCAAAAAAACACAAAACAGAGAGCGACTTAGAATTTACAAAATGCAAAAAAATCCTAAAAATATCTGGAAAACGCATCTCGGATCAATATTAACAGGAAATAATCTGCTCAACATTCATCCAAATCACAAATTTCCTGGAGTTATTGTGTTCACTGTTTGGGTTCATTGTACAGTTTATCAGTTGTTCTCTATTGTTATTTGGTATGCATTGTATATAACATGAAATATCCATAAAATATGTCAGTCAGTTTACTCATTGATAGAAAAGGGCTCCCTTAAGGAAAAAGGTGGGACTGCTACTTGGGCTTTGTATGAATAGAATGGTTTCATGGACTTGTGTGTGAAGCTACATTTGACTGCAGAAGAGAAATAAGGACCAAACTGAACACACTTTATATTTTCTCTTTTATTTAATATTTAGTTTGATTTATGATCCAGACCTACAGAGGTGTGATCCCCCTCAGCTCTTCATTTTCGACATGTTTGAACATTGTGAACATGTTAGTCAGTGTCTTAATCCTCAAGAATACTGCTGAATTATGAAAGCTGTCAGGACCTTATGAAAAAAGATGGATGATAAAGGTGGTGTACACCTAATGTTTCTGATGGTTTGAGTTGGTCTGAAACTCTACTATCCCAGCACAACCTCAACAATCATCAAATCTTCTGAAATGAAAAAAAAAAAAAAAAAAAGACACTAGTCCTGTGAGATTAACTTTAAGAGAGCTCCCCGCTGCAGCCCAGTGCAATTAAGATCACTCTTTCTTACACAAATACTTTATTCACTTTTATTTAAAGCCCCTGCAAGGAACTTTCATTTTGTGTTGATTCTGGTGGCCCCTGTAGATAAAAGCGGTCTTCCTATTGCCTTGTAACCAAGAACCACTTGTGTCTGGGGCTGGGTGTGCCTTCTTGTTGCCAGCCAGCTATGTACTTATTAGCTTTTCACAACTAATTTCTCATCTCAAAAGTGCTAGAAAGCCATTTCATTACATCACTGTACATCTGTATATGTTTCCATTATTATTTATTGTAAGATTTGAGTTTACTGTTGGTCGGCTAACCTTACCCAAAAATAGCTGCTAATTTCTCACATTAATTTTATGAAAGTTGAACGTAACATTATTTTTGCAAACGCATCATTGATGTTTTGAAGGAAACATTGATGTCAGAAATGAGTAGCCGTGTTTGCTTGGGTAATGTTCGCTGTCCAACAGCTAGCTAGCCTAACATCAATGGTGCATTCGTAACAATGTTACATTCCATCTTTGCAACATTGATGTGAGAACTTAGTAGCTATGCTTGCTTGGATGTTAGCTGACCAACAGCTAGCTAGCTAGCCAGCTAACCTTGGTAACAATTGCTAACATTGGGGACATGTGCATTTACATTGGTGAAAAGGGGGAAACCAATTTCAAGGTGAATCTGACAAAATCTCTCCCAATGGTATGCATTAAGAATAACTATATAGAAACTGTTTGTATACGTAGGTCACATAGAGGCATCGGTATTAAACTGAGACTGTTTCACAACCAGTTAAAAACTCCTTCTAGTTTAAATATCTAAAGCTGACAGGAGAACAACAAATGACCACAGAACAGTGACTACCCTGACGAAATCACTCGTGTAGTTGAGGCTTCAAGCGGTCATAGAAATCTGGGACAATGGGCGACAGCCCACATCCTGCCACTGTCTGTCTACCTTCAGCCCTCTGATACAGAGGTTTGGTCTCCTGGGGACACAGAGTCAGTGTTCACTCAGCAGCATTAAGGGGTCCACAGATACACACTTTCTGCTTTTGACTTACAAGCCTTTCAGTCTATGGAACAGATCCAAACCCATTTACTGTACTGCTCTGTAAAGAGCACTGCATCCCTTAACACAAATTTTATTTTTTGTTCTTGTCTGCAAGTTTGTGTGCTGCCTAAAATGTGTGTGAACCATATATGCTGACACATGTGAAAACATCCCTGTATACAGACGTGGCATAAACAGAACTGTGTGTGCATCCATATATATTGCGCCCTATAGTGGAAACTGCTTCCTTGGGAATACAAGAATTGCATCTTCCCATTAAAAATAAGGCAATTTTTCCAGTTTGTCAACATAATTAATTTGATGAGGACCTTGTTGATTTAGCATCGCAAAGATATCCTGACCACTGAACTTTGGTGCTATCTAGTTAACCTGCTTGCATTTCTACCAATTTTAAGTGGAACCATTCTAATTGTATGCATCATCTACATAGGGCACTGCATAATGCACAACAACCTGTAGAATATGATATTCCCACTTTGGTTCCCAAGGAAAACCTGCTATTTTTTGGTTCCAGTTGGGAACCAACTTTTTAGGTTCTGAACCAATTTATTTTTGGAAGAAATGCTAAATGCAAATGGTTCAAACCTAGGTGTGGGAACCTGAACTGAGCTAGTTTCCTGTTGGTGGAAAATGCCATGAGATGTTCAGGTGTGTTATGCTAGCAGCGACTAACGTAGAGCAGAGATGATGAGCAGCTACAGAGGTCTGGTAAGATAAACACACCACACCCCCAGACTGCTTTCATTTTCAAACTTATAGTCATCAGATCCAACTGATGCTGATTCAAGTGACATCACTTGAGGACATTTATCAGATCAGATCCCCAACTCCTGTAAACACAGTTTGATGTGTACAATCAGTTTCTCTTTTATGCTACTAAAACCAGTTTTATACTTCTGCATTGTTCAACCTGCGTGTATGGCCTGACGAGCACCTCCCCAGAAATATAAGATGTTGCAGCAATGCAGACTGCAACAACTATGATAGGTTTGCCAACAAATTAAATATTATTTTAGTCATTTAGTGTCAATACATTTAGATTTTTAAGATAATGCAGACACCAAATACTGCTCTTTGTTGCCATCTGGTGATGGATGGAGGAAAAACGCCACTGTTCCAGTTTTAGAAGTAGAAGACCGGGTCTACCAGGATGACCCTTCACTTCCAGGTCAATTGGAACAGCTGCTCTCAGGGTATTCAAAGTGCCAAAAGTGCAGCTTTGGTAATTACGCGTGTAAGAATCCCTTTTCTTCCAGATCAAACAATCAAGGGTCTGATTCTCAGATGCAGCTTGTTGCCTCTAAATGATTTCCTTCAAGGGTTCTTGGAAACAGCTTCTGTCATGAAAAATTGACTTTAGAGAAGAGACTTGTTAAATGGCGTTTTAAGACATCACATTGGTCCGCTGTCTTTATTCCAAAGCATCTCTTAAACACGCTCTTTGAACACAATGAGTTTAGACGAAGGTGTGGCTGGGGTAGCTCACCTAGACCAAACTCATAACAACCATCAGAAACCAAGACAAGAAACACAAGAGCTCAGAAGAAATTAAAATATTATATTATCTTATTAGTTGTTAATAGTTTTGTACTTTGTATCTGCTGATTCGATGTGAAGTGCTGATGTGTGTGTGTGTGTGTGTGTGTGTGTGTGTGTGTGTGTGTGTGTGTGTGTGTGTGTGTGTGTGTTTTGACAGTCCCTAGTGGCGGTTCACAGCAGCGCTCTGTAGCAGGTCTGTCTGGGTCTGTGTTGGGGGTCTGAAGACTGTCTGGAAGCCTGGCGGTGGGGAGTGGAACTGGTTGGTGGGGGCCGGGTAGTGTGCCCAGCCAGCTCTGTGGGGGGTCGGCTGGCTCCCAAAGGGGCCGTTTTGTGAGGCTGAGCTGGACGGGGCATCCATTTCTGTGAGAGTCTGCAAGGACTTGAGCCAGTGTGGAGGATTGTCGTCTTGAAGAGTGTCCAGACTGTTGCCACTGGGGGCTGGGATCCCTGCAGAGGACAAGGCAACAGTACACTCAGATACTACATTATAAAGCAAATCATTTTAAAATACTAGAGATTCTGTTTTCATGGCTAAACGCTCTATTTACCACAGAGGATATGTGTTGTTGAGAGAAACTAATACTCAAGTCTTTTGCTACAACAATAGGACTTTCTATCAACCTGATGATAGCTAATGTACAGTGTACAGTTTATCAGATGTGTATTTTGTTGGCTGTTAAACCAAAACTATGAGCTATAAGAGGCTTAAAAGCTGTGCGGAGCTGCAGCGTTGGCGATATCGTCATTTGATTTACTGTTAATCTAAAAAAATATATATAAGCTTTAACTTGGTGAATGACAAATGTTTTATTCAAAATGACTTAATCTATGCTGCTAAAATCCCCTATGCAAGTTGTAGTTTTGAACATAAATTATATAAAATTGAAGTACAAATCCTCACCAGTAGCGCAGGATTTATACCACAAACACTCAAACTATACAGCAGGATGAGATTGCGAACCGGAGGCTGACTCGCCTGAAGGAGGGTGTTATGAGCATAATTTCTTCCCAGTAGGACAGGCTGTGCCCGAGGCCAGTGGTGGAAGGAATAAATTGGGATTAGAGGGAATAATATACAGTGCTGATACCTACAGAATACCACTTTCCTCTTGCAGAAATGGAGGTGGAAAAGTATAGTATCCTAATGGCAAGCCAAATATACAGCTCCAACCAATTTCATTCTGGTGCCACCCCAGCTACAAACAAATCCCCACCATCTCACAAAACAATGATCTCATCCACAAGTAGATTTAAGGGAACCTCGAGCCTAAGCAGTTATGAAATGGTATTAAACTCTGTAAACTATTTCATATGAAGGGATCCACCACATTTCCAGGGCTCCAAGCTGTATATGAGGGTTCTGTCAACCACCTACCACCAGAGAGAATACCTCTGTCTGTCTTAGTTTGAACTGGGAGTGAAAACAGAATGAGCTCATCTGCAATACAGCAGCAGCTGGCAACATGTTGCTGGGAGGGAGGTCCAGAAACCATGAATTGTTTCTGCTACAAACCAGAGTTTCATAAAGAAGACTAATTAGGGTGAACCACAAGAGGACAGGGGTCATGGGAATTGTGTGTCCCAGAGCTGACTACAAAATGATCTCAGTAAAACTGTTTTTTGTACTTGCTGATATTGGGACAGTTGTAATTTAAGACACCAATGAGAGCAACACAAATCTGTCCCTGAAAATGTGCATGTGGCACATTGTGCTTTAAGTTGTGGTAGATAGTGGTTCCACCCTCACAAAGGTACAGAAGGTCATTGTAAAGGAGAGGGTCGAAGCCATGATTTCAGATATACTGAGGTCAATTCAGAAAAAAAGTCCCCTAAAGTCGCTAAAACCCCCAGATTCCCAGAAAATACACAGCTTCAAAATACTAAATGATTAAGGGTGAGACTATGATGATGCTTTTGTACAGATTGTAATGTACCAAAAGAAATTGAACATGTCCTCTGGGTAATGACATACAAACTAATGAGTACTAAAACCCAGACATACACAGAGTTTACAATGGTTTGAACACTCTACCCCTTCTCCAGCTGACATTAATCTGTGATCTCAATCTGGACATTAGAGGTGTGAATTGTCACTGATCTCCTGATTCGATTCGATTACGATTATCATGTCAGCGATTCGATTCGATTCCTCGATGCATCACGATGCTTCAAATACATTTTTCTATTAAAGCCATATAAGATATTTGACTTGACGGAATGCATTAAGATACTGTATAGTTCAATATAATACAGTTTTCTATATTACTTCATATGGTTGTTTTCATCCAAAAATAAGTAGTAAGATATAAACAATCTTTTTTATTTAACAGTGTGAACACAGCAGACAGCACACACACACACACACACACGCACACGCACACGCGCACACACACACACACACACACACACACACACCGTCTCCCGATCGTGTCATTAGACAGAGGGACAGTATTCAGTGTCTCAGCACTTTTCTCACCTATGACTGTGACCATGTCCAATGCTGCCGGAGTATTAGCTCCTCTGCTGTTGTGTGATGGTTTTTTGCACTTTGCGATGTGGCGGTGTTTGTATGAGGCTAACGGTGTGTATTTATTTACTGATGCCGCGCTCACTAAATGACCGGCCTGTTGGCGATACGCATCGAATATACAATGAAAAAAGTCCAGTGGCTTATTGACATAACTCGGGTGTAAGGTCTCCAGGTGCCGTCTTAAATTGTTTGGTTTCATGCTGTCCACTGCCAGAGTTTTTAAACATAAAACACACACAGGTCTTTCCTCATTTCCGACCGTATTCACGGTAAACCCAAAGGCTATGTAGGCTACGTCTTATTTCCTGCTCTTATTAGGTTTCTGCCGGTTACCGTCACTTGCTGTTCTTTCCTCTGACGTCTCCTCCGTTTTTCTTTTTACTCCTGTCAGAAACTTCTCCATCTCTCCTCCTCCGTCAGTCCCCCCTGACTGAGAAGTACTGGTCTAGATGAAACGGGTTAGGCTACTGAGAATGTTATTTTTCATTTGAATGTTTATGCCGCGGCCGGAAAATTAAGGAGCGACATCATTGCGTTATAATCTATTATGGTCGGCCACTGCATCAATGCAGCATTGTCCATGTCTGCATCGTGATGCATCCATTATTTGATTAATTTCAACACCTCTACTGGACATGTTATCTGTATAATAGAACTGCACAATCAATCGAAAGTTTATCAAAATTGCAATAGGATTCTACCCCAATGGTCACTTAAAATTGTTTTCAAAGGGCCAGGAAACAATGCAGATGGCTTCCATAGGTTCCTTTTCACCAGCCTTGCTAACTAGGCTAACACTGATGGATCTGGCTATGGTAGGTGGTGTCAATGGATGTTCCGGCTATTCCAACTTCTTCAGCAACAGCAAAGTGCAGCTTTCAAACTTAAGTAGAGTTGTGTAAACTTTTATCTTATTTTTGTTAATGTAGTTTTTTTTATCTGTTGGCAATTGTTTTTTGAGTACCTCACAACTCTGTTTTTAAAAGCTCATTATCATATTTACATAAAATATATTGTCCTTGAGCAGGACCTGACTCATACCTCTGATAATGGCTGGGTCCCTCCAGCTGGCTGTGCTGTCCCAGCAGAGGCCGTGAGAAACACTCCTAGATACCCCCGTTGGTCCTGTGTGATTGTGGTTGACACTGGATGAGGAGGAGGATGATGATGAGGAAGACAAGGAGTTGGGAAGTCCTCCAAAGTTGATGTTGATGTTGGGTAATAGCGCTCGGAGGCCGTCCTGCCACTCCTTTACATTTATGCTCTCTACACAACCGCTGTTTTCTGCAACAAAACAGGAAGAGGAAGCTCTAGCACCAGCAGTACATGGATTACAGTATCAGCCTAAAAAAAGACACCATAACAGTTTCTGTCAGGCTGTTAAGCAAGGTCTTAAATTTTCTTTTTGGCTCCTCAGTCAGGGGCTGCTCTGTCATTCTTATTATGAACCAGGTGCTCAAATATTGTCATCTAATATATGGGACGAGATCATTGTGGAAACAACAAACATAACTGAGATTGTAAGTTGCAGGATGTAACTTTTATAAAAAATTATATTTTGTTATATTTGCTGAAACTTTCACTATATCCTGTCAGTAGTACATGAGACAGATAATGTGTCAAGAAAAACAGCTTCCTCTGGCTCCTCCTAGTGCTCCTACTGGCATTTGCAAGAATCCACCGGGCCTGAAAGAAAACAACCAATCAGAGACAGGAAAGATAAATGATTGTTAAGTCTCATTCCCAGGTTTTCAAATATCAATGCTGAGAATGAAACTCAACTATCAACCCAAAGCGTCTTTCCATTTTTCTTGCCGCTGATTGGCTGTCACGGTAACAGCTTTCACAGCAGCCTAAACAAAGCAGACAGGCAAACACACCAGACTACATTTTAACCGAACCAAACAGCATCCTTAAATACAAATGTAAAGCTTACTGACAACTCTGGACCTGGTGGTGAAAGCAAACATTGGGCTGCTGGTGGCTGAACACGGCCTCTACGATTCTCATTCTGACAACACAGCTAGAGCAGATCTAATGAGGAGAGAATTAGCAGCTTTACATGTTGCTAATTAATACTATATTAGGCGGCTCAATTAACATGAGAGCTAGGTGTAGTTTCAATTGCTTTGTGGGTTCTACTTTGAATGCTGAAAAGGCAAAGGCTTTAAGTAAAGGCATGAAAAGGGCTTGTGCTGTAGGTCTATAGGGCTACTGTAGAAACATGGCGGCTCAAAATGGCGGCCTACGTAGAAGAGGACCCGCTACCACTGTAGATAAAAATGGCTCATTCTAAGGTACAGAAAACACAACAATTCTTATTTTCATGAAATCATAACTATGAATACTGCATTCCACTTCCTCGTGTAAAGTTCTTAAATGCTGAATGTTGTCTTAACACAATGAGTGGTACAATAGATTTGTCTAAATAAAATAGGCAAGAGTTGAAATTTTTGGATTCAAATCAGGAACTATCTGATTAAAGATTAAGTAAATGGTAAATGGACCTGTACTTGTATAGCGCCTTACTAGTCTTCCGACCACTCAAAGCGCTCACACACATTCACTCAGTGATGGCAAAGTCCATTGAAAAGAAACCAACTCATTCATACACATTCACACACCGATGCACGGCATCGGGAGCAATTTGGGGTTCAGTATCTTGCTCAAGGATACTTCGACACATGGCAGGATTGAACCAACAACCTTCCGATTAGGGGACAACCCACTCTGCCTCTGAGCCACAGCCGCCCTTAAACAATGCAGAGTTTGGTACTCGTCAGGGTTGACATATCCGTTGCACACACAGTATAATAAACTAACCTTCACTTTTACTACAAATCAGTTCCAAATATCGGTTATCGGTTACTAATAAGTTGTAATCATCTGTACAGGTCAATCCCTCAATGCCTAATTCAGAGCTAGCTGCTAGCTGCTTACTATGTCACATAAGCTATTGAATGGTAGGAAAGTCTGGTATGTTTTTACATCACTGAACAACTATTTGAATTCATAAAATATGCTAAGACAATCTAATGATCACATCAAGTTTGCCCACGCTGGTGTTCTGTCTAATCTGAGATCTGATGAAAGTCCTGAGTGTGGAGAGGCTGCAGCAGTGGGATAATTATTCAGCTGCCATGTTTTGTCCTGCAGCCTGAAAGCAGTACGGTGGTGCTGTGGTCAGGAGCTGGAATCATTTAGAGCTCTGTCTAATGAGACACTGCAGACAGCAGGCCTCACGAGGATGACAGCCTTTCCAGTTATATGGCTCTATGAATAATAAATATTAATTGACAGGATGATTGTTAGTCGACTCACTCATTAACCCCCACAGCTCACTTCCTACAAGATGGCTGAGGCACAGACTATGGAAATGCCATGAAATATTATTTATTACATGTCTTATGATGTCGTTACCATAGCCATTACTTGAAGCAGTCGGTTTAAAACATCCATTAATTATATTAAGCTTTTGAATCAAATACTGTCTAGCACTAACCCCCAAAACACGAGTGATTAAGAAGAAACAAAACAACTACAGTATTCCCCTGTGATCCTTGCTTAGCCTTCACCGAGCCTTTTTCTTTCATTTTAAATCAGGCTGTCAGGCGGGGAAGCATGGCTGGCATTAACAGCCTCACCTATGTTGCCATTTGCATCCCCAGATAAATAAGTGCTGCTATGTTTAATTCATGAGGCTGAGAGCTGCCTTCAAGATCAATTTGAACCACGTTATCCAATGACACTCCTTTACAGGGAGGAATGATTTACCACTGAATTAGCTGATGTCTTTCATGACTGCTATTAGACGAAGGTTGTCAGCCAGTGCTGGCTTATCTTCTTCAACTAGTTTCATTTAACAGCCATTATGTTTAGACAGTGGTGATACATTGTTAATGAGATTATTGCAGCTCAGAGATGGTGGAACAAAAACCAAAGAGAGGAGAAGCTACTTGGTTTGAGAACACTATATGGTCAAAACTGTCTACTTAGCTTAGTATTGTGGCTGTTTTTTTTCTTGACAATACAGGACAACACTTGCTCACAAACTAAAGGCATTCTCTCTAAATATTTTTACTTGGGGCACCCATAGCCAATACTGTAAAAAGTGATCATACATTAGTAGGAATGTAACAATATAGTTAAATTGCAATACAAATATGTTAAGATTCGGTGAGATGAAAAATGAAGCATTTTCAAGAGCATAGGGCGTTATCTACTTTTGACTTTCCTTATTTGAATTCCCTCCTGTTTAAAATAAAAGGTATGACAGCTTTTTGGCTTCTTTGTCTTCAGTCTCATTTTGTTAAGAGAAATGGTGATAAAATCATATTGTGAACCCAGTATAGTGGGAATAACAGCAGCAGTCTGCTGTGTTACAATGATGCTACAGTAAATTATGTGCTGCCACCAAGTGGTCAATAAATGAGCATATGTTTACCCACAATGCAATGCACTATAATGATGTCATGTACTAGTTGTTTCTTCAAGCTCCTAGTTCTTTACCTGTTACAGAAAGGAGACAGTGACTGTGGAGACTGAACATGACAAAACTAAATACACATTTTGTGTGCATCTTCCTATACTATAACTCCTCAGGCTGTATGCGTGTGTACAAACTGTATGTTGTGAGGTTAAGTGAATGCATATGATCTGGGCTGTACAGTTTGTGTTTTAGCAAGTCAGCACTCTGGAGAGGCTTTGTGGCACTAACACAAACACTGAAGTCTGATAATGTCTTGTTCACACTGGCCAAACACTGTGCTGGGTGTGGTAATCCTGATGTGGGTGTCGGGTGTTAAGCTGCACAATGTAGTAGAAACATCATAGTGTGATTATTTTGACAGATACTGCAATTGCGATATGATTCAAGATTAGTGGGAATGTTTTTGAGTCACAAAATCAATTTTCACTGAAATGTTATTAAAATTAGGGCTGACCGTTTTTAAAGACAACCAGGCTGACATAGGAACTGTACAGCCAATATGCACTCGAATATTTGTTTATTTATCGCAAGTTATATCGTCATCGCAATATCAAACAGTGTTATTGCACATTTTCCACATACCTTACAGGGCTAATTAAAATCACGATGATGTGACATTTGTTGGAGTTTGTACCAAAGAAACAGACATGTGGAGAAACAGATTTGTAGGCCATGGCATCTCTGCAGAATTACAGTGCTCCATTTTAATGCTGTTTTATCACACATTTTACCTTTATCTAGAAATTGCAACTTCTGTGATTTGGATATTTCAAACTGACCATGCACATGACACTGCAATTTTGATAATATTGAGATTCATTGTGCAGCCCTAGTCGGGTGGCAAATTCACTTTTTAAAATGTGAATAGATTCAGCTACTCAAAAATAAACTTTTTTTTTCCTCTCTCTGAAATCTACCTGGCACTTTTCACATTTAACATTTCTTTTACATTACAATTCAGCTCATTGTTATGTAATGTAAAAGAAATGTTAAATGTTTTCTCAATGGAGTCTGGTTAGCCATAGTGCCCATTGTTTTGGTCTGAGATGCTGTGCTCTAGTGTGACATCTAGTGGCAATTTAATTTAATTTATAACCTTCAAGTCAGACACAATTATATGTGTACAGGTAAGGTCTCCCTGATCCAGTCTTACCTGTGATAGGGATTCCTCCAAGTCCAGTATTGTGATGTCTTGGCAGCGCTGGCAAGTCCAAGAAGCTGCTGTGTGAGGTGGAGGCTGTTGGACTGACTGAGTGGTTCATATGCATAAAGTTACTGTGTGAGGAGGTAGAACCCATCCAGGACCCACAAGATGCTGAGGAAGAGGAGGAGGAGGTGGAGGAGCAGGAGGATGAAGATAATGCTGATGAAGCGTGAGTGGGGAAGCTGAAGGAACTGTAGCCTCCCCTGTGAGGGTGCTGATGCTGAGAAAAGTGGTGAGAGGGTGGGAGGTGGTTGAGGAGTCGAAACCCTCCTGGGGGCCCAAGGCCTTTGTTTAGCAGGGGCCCGTGAGTTCTGTGGGGGAAGGAGCCAGGTGAAAGTGATAAGCTGACTCCATCTTCTACAGAGAGCTCATTCTCTATGAGGTCAGCCAGAGCCCTGCGAGTGACGTCAAAGGGGTCGAAGCCCAGGTCGTCCTCTTGCTGCTGTTTGGACGAGCCGAAGCCAAATGCTGCCTGCCAGTCCGTGGACGAGGACACCGGGATGGTATCTGCACACACACACACACACACACACACACACACCTTATTGGCTGCTGTCCATACAGCTGGACGATTAACCCTTCCTAAGACATTTTTGATCTGCTCTAATAACAGTTAAGCAAGCCTCGGTCAGAACATCAGTCAACTTCCTCCTTTCCTGTACTTCAAGACAAGACTATGGGCCTGTCCCCACGTATTGGCCTCGTGTCCAGACGGATACAGCGTTTTCGGGGTGTGAAAACAATGGCGGACTACTACTACTTGTTTGTAAACAGCGCATGCTCCATGGCTTCTCTTCCGGTCTAGTTTTGCAAACAAAAAAAAAAATATGACTATATAAATTTCGCTTTTATCTTTTAACCATCTTCAGAATTTGGATGCCACAGTTTCCACAAGCTCAGAAATATTAAAGATGGTTAAAAGATAAAAGCCACATATATATAGTAACATCTTAAGTTAGCTAATAAGATTAGTAAAACCGTGTGCTTGTTGGGAAAGTTACATGCTTAAACAATTTCTTGACAAATCAGTTTCTACATTTGCACTTCTGTGCAGCATCTCCGCCGGTTGCCTGCCAACTTCAAGGTGATGACAAGACTCGCAGCACAGTATAGCACAAACTCCCTGTAAAAATCCAACGGTCATCAAACTATCAGCTTGACAAGCTTACAGAGTTAAAAAATGTCATTGTGCTACTTAAGAAATCAAACTCTAGTGCTTGTGGCCAAATACAAACCAAGTTTAAACCCTAATTCTTAATCTTTCAAGGACATTTTTTCAAGATTGTGGGTGGAGTTTCACTTAAAAGCAAGCAAGTCTCTAAAAGAAGATTTTTATTGTCACACTGTTTTTATATGATGCAATTTTTAAAAACAATCTGAGACTTTGTAAAGAACCAAAACACCCTGCTATCAAGCCAGTTCTTCCTGCTCCGGCTTACCTGAGGTGAAGAGGCTCTGTGGCTCTGGTGCAGTTGGCCAGTCAGCGTTGCTGTGTGGGGAGCTGGGGAAGCCGCTCAGTCCACTGGGGAGTGGGTTTGGATGCCTGAAGTTACTGTTGTCTGAAAACAGTGACTGGGACTCTGCAGCAGCCGCCTCAAACGGGGAGTGAACTGTGTGGCCTGTGACACTGATGGGAACTACCAGGCTGGGCTTACTGAGGCCAGGAGGGGGCGATGGAGAGTCACTGCCTGGGAGCTACAGACAAAAGAGAGGAAGAGAGGAGAGCCTCTTATTACTTTTATCTTTTATTTAGTCTGGCGGTATCATGGATATTCTACAACACATATAAATGAACTAAACATAAAAACTGATACAAAATACAAGGTCAAAAGAGGGCATAAGATAAATCAAGTCCCCTAATCGGAAGGTTGTTGGTTCGATCCCCGGCTCCTCCTGCACACATGTCGAAGTATCCTTGAGCAAGATACTGAACCTGCATCGGTGTGTGAACGCGTATGAATGAGTTAGTTTCTGTTCGTGTGAAAAGGGTGAATGTGGCACGTAGTGTAAAAGCGCTTTGAGTGGTCGGAAGACTAGAAAGGCGCTTTACAAGTACAGGTCCATTTACCAATGTAGAACACAGTGTCTTAGGACAATTTCACACACATTTCTTACCAGTTGTGAGGTTTCACCATTGCTTAAACCGATAATGTCTGGCAGTTTGTTGCTGGGGCTGTAAAATAGAAGCAAAAATATTATTTATATTTACCCACCACAAGACAGAGGAGATATCTTATACATACACATGCATATATACACACACCCACACACACACATATATATATACATAAGTATATAAAAATATATAACAGCAACCAGGGAAATAATCTACGGTATGCAGAGTTGTACATTTTAAAATCATTACTTTTACCTAGCAAGATCACAGTTTGAGGAGAAAGGGGAGAGGGCCGGTACTGGGCCAAGGCTGAGGTCAGGTTCAGGCCCCTCAGGGGTCAAGTGTTCAGAGTCAGAGCCATCTAATGGCGGACTCTTCCCGTGGTCTGATGACAGACCGTTGGTCGTCCTCCCTGACGGCTGTAATGACAGCCAGCCATCTTTACTGGAACTGTTACACCTGTGCACACACACACACACACACACACAGGAGCAAAGAAGAATCACACACAGAAATAGTATACATATCCTCACTGTATTGCAGCTCATTAGTTTTACTTCTAAAACAACCAGGGAATTTGTCTGTGTTTGTTTTAAAAAAAATAATTCATTAATTAGTTAGTATTAAGTATTAAATCAGATCTTTTGGCCATTCTCATGAGATAATGTGTTATGTATTACAAGCAGGAAATGAAGAAGAGACACAGACACACAGACTAACACTCTGGTGTGAGAATACCTCTGTAGAGAATTAGTTTTGCCCTTTGGCTTGTCCCCTGACACAGCTGAGGTCTGCAGGAAGGTCGGGTTTATTTTGTAGAGGTCTTGTAGCAGCTTCTGCTCATACTCCTGATGCTTTCCTGCCTGGAAGCAAAAGAACAGATTAGAGAAAGCTATGTTTTCATATAAATCAGATAAAAACACAAAATACCAACAGAGAACTTGTGCGTGCTTGTAAGTGACATCTGCATTTTGGCTAACTTCTTGTCCGGTCTTGCCGTTAGCAGTCCCCTCCTCACCAAATGGTGTCTGTGTTCCAAATGACATGCTTTTTCTTTTTCTTTTAGTTTGTACTTCTTCCGTTGCAGTAAGTGGCGTGAAATATTTCATACAAAAAAAAAATATTTATGCACTTTGGAATGGGTGCTATGTCACTTAAGGTTACCTTGAAGATACAACAAAGCTCCATTCACCGAGATCACCACTGTCATTTGCTGTTGCTACTTTTATATATGCAACATGCAGTATTATGTGCATAACAGTCAAATGACATACTGTTACTGTATTTTTTCATTATAGATAGACTGATTAATTGGGCCGATTATCTGGCATTTTGAGATAATCGGCAGGCAGCATTGCCAGTGTGGCTGCCGTGGAACCATGTTAGCGCTCACCTTTGTGAGTTTTGGGAAGGTGGTGAAAAACTCACTTCAATCACCATCGTCTTTTCTAAATGTTACCACTGTTCTCTTAAAAGACAGCAAACCTAATCTCAAACCATTACTGGCTGATAAAAAATTCCATTTAAAACAACATGTCATTGGCTACAATAACCTCATTTATTAGACTGTAATGTGCATGGAGTAATGGAATTATACAGGACTTTGTTTGTTTTGACATTTGTGTTTTATATCGAACATCGGCATATATCAATATCAGCATCGGCCATTGAAAAACACACATTGATCAATCACAATTAGTTTTTTGTGATTGTGTATCTTTAGTACTATTTTGCTCACGTAACAACTGATGAACAAATGCACTGTGATCTGTGCTCTCTCTGTGGCCCAGTCAATGTGATCGTATGACATAGGTTTGTGTTTGAGAACAGCCAGAAAAGCATGTTGGCTCGCGTACTGCAAAATGTGACCCAAACACAGGAATGTAGAACATCCTGCCACTTCTGGCATATTGTATTTAACATACTTTGGGTATATCCCAAGTCTCTTTTTTCACATTTCCTTGATCCTTGCAGGCCATCCCAAGCACTTATTTCTGCACCGAGGAATGAAGAACGAGAATTGTGGATCCAGGAGCGATCTCTGAGGAGCTGGATGCAAGGATACATGAGAGGAGCCTTCATGAAGTCTTTTACCGACGGACGCACCCCTTTATTGGATATCAGTTATTGATTGGACACTGCAGTTGATCAGACTCAACACCATTTAAGATGATCATATTACAGTTGTAGTAGAGAGTCTGTGTCAGCAAGAAACACGTTTTACATCATTTATTGACATTGCCATTCAGTCACATGAGGCTGATAATTCCTGAGTCGGGTTTGATATAAGTTCATCATCTACCCTGAAATATTGAGCCAATATCAATTATTAAATCAATAATGAATTTACAATCACACTTACAATAAATACAGATGCACAAAATATAATAAACAGAATAAACGCATTCTGCCAGTAGAAATTGTTCTTGTGCATTTCTGTTGAGCAGCGCAAGCTTTCAGCTGATTTCTTTATTTATTCTGTGTTGTATTGATGCAGCCTATGAGTGTTTGCTTAATTTACTATAATAATGAGAGAGGATGCTTTCAGTCATTTTAAACACTTCCATGGATGCACTAATGTCACAGCAAATATCATTAAGCAGCAAAACTTAAAAACTGTTGACAGAAACTCTCCAGAGGAAACAGAGAATTTATCAGAACTGCTGTTTTACTCTCAACAATTTCCCCATATCAACCTGAACTGTTTGGAGGTGTAAAATAACACAGAACATTAATTAACATCAGATGCTGTCGGCGTGTCAGAGCTTAATCAATGATTAAACGGACATCACTTCACGTGATACTTTAGATCACTTCACTAAAAATGTATTTCCTCATTCCTTCTTTCCTTCTTCTTGTTTCTTTGCATCTCTCATGCATCCCTGGTGGGAGGGAAACATGGATGCAATTAAGTGAAATGAGACGCACCCTATGTTTTGTGACATACTTAGTCTTTAGTTATGTATGCTATATACAAACGTTTCTGTGACTACTGGAAACTGTCTGACCTGACTGCAGCTTTGTGTCACTGCCTCCTGCTACTGCTGCCTGAGCTCATCCACTTTACAGGCGAGGCGCAGTCCCTCTCAAACACACCTAGAAAGTATTCTCTGTTTACTGCAGAAGGGAGGGACTGGGAGACCCAAGATTACTGACTGAAAATCCAGTTAGTATACAGAAACTTCGCTTGCACCCTTGGCTGTTTTTGCTCAGAATTGACTGCGTTTATTTACAGGTGTGGTATACTCACTACATGCCTCAGGTAGATGTCATATATTATTGTCGGAATAAGTTAGGCTACCTAGAAAAGCCATTGGTTGGTGTAGTTTTACACTATTTGAAATGCTCTGGATTTCATGGTCGAAAAAGGACAGAAAACCACAGCAAAAACATGCTACTTAATTGTGTTGCACTGACACTGGCCATGTGTCAACACTGGAAAAATGCTTACTTCCTACTTTTACGGTATAAAAAAATGATTTTCTGTTTGAGCGGCTGTGGCTCAGAGGCAGAGCGGGTCGTTCCTTAATCGGAAGGTTGTGTGTTCGATCCCCGGCTGCTGGTGCCACATGAGCAAGATACTGAAACCCAAATTGCTCCCGATGCCGTGCATCGGTGTGTGAATGTGTATGAATGTTAGTTTCTGTTCGATGGACTTTGCCATCACTGAGTGAATGTGTGTGAAAGGGTGAATGTGGCACGTAGTGTAAAAGCGCTTTGAGTGGTCGGAAGACTAGAAAGGCGCTATACAGGTACAGGTCCATTTACCATTCTTACCATGTCCACCGGTTATCAATAAAGAGTACATATTTATGTATTAATGTAACTAAAAATATTATGCTGCCACGGAGACAGAGAATTAACTGCAGTCCAATTTGACACAATGGGAAAGCATACTGCATTAGCCACTAGGGCTGATACATATCACGATACAGGGGTAATGATATGATACTGTAAGAAAGGTGATATATTGCAACTTTTAAAAATGTAATTTTGGAAAAAGGTAGTAGTGAACTACCACTACCCTGGCTCAACTTACCTGCATCTCCTCTTTAGTAAAACTGGCAGCTTCGTCCCCCAGCTCATGTAGATACATGCAGTCTGGTTTGGGGCACTGCATGCTCTTTAAAAAGTAACTGCAGTATTTTGTTGTTCCTAAGGATGCCTGCGAAACACAAAATATATTCTACTGTAACTCAATATTCAGCTGCTCGCTCTTTTATCTAAATGCACCACTTTTATCCTTCAGGATTACCTTCAGAGTTCTGCCGTCCACCACTACATTGTTGACACACTGGATTGCTCTGAGAGCATCTTCAGACCGGAGGTATGTGACATAGGCACTGGCACTTGGCCCCTGGGACAAAGACAGACAACCGAGACAAAGCTGACATTAAACACTAGTTTCATGCCTGACAGAGGTCCTCTTATAGCTCTGTCGTTGCTGTGGAGGGTCTTACCTGTGAACCAGCGTATGATGTACTGTTGTTGATCACCACTTTGTGAATCTTCCCAAACTTCCCGAAATATTCTGGCCTCTTTAGAACCTTTGAAAAACAGAAGACATTATCATTGTTATTTCTTATTTGTTTTTTGCCCATGTGCCATTTAGGGTGTGGAAAGGGAGGGGGGATCATTTTAAAGACTAGAGGGACAGCTGATGAATGCTTGTGTGCTTGTCTATTTGTGTTGAAATGTCTGATGCTTGTCGGCCTATCATATAAAGGCTGAAGTTGGTTTAACCTCCAGTATTGAAAAATGGAAAATAAAACCTTGATTAAAAAAGTATATATATATATATATATACATACATATACACACATATATAAACAAATACAGACAGAGCACACAAGGTAACATGTCTCTCTCTTTCTGAATGACAATATTAACTCCATTAAAACTGCATAGGTGGAATTGGGTGCTTTTGACTGGGGCTCCTCAGGACCCCTATACATCTGTATTTTTAAAAAACAAAGTAAAGCAGAAACAAAACAATAATATGAAGTCATTAGGAACACTGAAAGTCATGAAAAAAAGAAATGAATGAATAAAGAACCTCTGGGGTCTGCGGGTACTGCAGTAAGTACGATGAATAATTCGCACTGCTGTGTTAAGTGTTAAGCTGTAAACTGCTGCTATTACACTCACTCTGGAGATTTTTGCAATTCAGCCACTCACACATACAGGACTTTCTGCTGCCGCACGTTACCACAATCAACTGAAGCAATCTAATTATGTGGACTCGAGTCATGGCTTGGACTTTGAGTCATGAATTTAATAAATTCAGACTTGACAAAAATCAAAAACTGGATTTTAACTTAAATCATCTTGACCGTGTATGGAATTTTGGTCTCTGCCTCTGCTCAGCGGGCAATGTAACCAGGCTCAGCTGCTTCTATGGACATTGCTAATGGCAGAGACGTAGAGATAATGAAGGAAGAAGAAAAAAGGAGAGAGTGTCCGGACAAGAGTAAATCTGGGACTGGCTTTTAGTGGTTGGCTAAAGAGAGCTAGGTGAAGTAAAAAGACATGGGCTGGATTTCTTGCTGTTGGACTAGTCAGTAATATTAGCTGCTTGCTTTGTCTTTTGTTGTTGCACTTGCTTGATGTTTGGCTGTGTTAGCAAAATTGTCGATTCGCTAGTTTCTGATTGATCTCACTCGGCGACAGCGGCAAGGAAAAACTTCCTTTAACAAACTTTGGAAAGACCCCAGCTCTAGGTGGGTGGTCGTCTGCCTCGACACAGGGAAATTAAAGTTCTAATCCTGTGTCTCTGTCCTCACAGGAACAGAAATACTTAAATCTATGTACGTACGTACGTATATTTCAAAAAGCTTGGCTACCGCACTGTGTGTGTGTCCTGTTGAGTTTGCTTTGTGTTAACAGCATGTACTCAGGTATGTGAGTAATTATATTATACAATACACATACACTTGTTCTTGAAAGAACAGGAGACACCCACATACACAGATTCAAGTGTTCACAAAGCCTTATTTTTTGTGTTAACTTCAGACAGCCTGACACTGTCCTGCTGCAAAGATGATTAATATGTTCAAGGATATTTATGGCATGTAACATCATCACAGACGCCATCAGGCCCTGACACCATTGTTTTCCAGGACTGCTGAGTGTGGGTGATGTTGGCAGACTGAACTGCTGCTGCAGAATTACATACCATTCATTTTAGGCTTATTCTAGTTCTAGAACTACAGTTTTAATACAAATTAAGAAGCAACATTAGTCTAGTATAATACTTCTTTATCATGTGTTGTCTCACCTCAGGGTCAGCCAACCTCTGAGACAGCCCCACTACAAACACCAGGTTTCTCTGGACCACACGGACGCTGGCCAGATGTTTTCTGTTCTCTGTGATCTTCTGCTTCTTCTCGTTCTGCTTCTGTTTCTTCTCGTTCTTTATCCTCTGCAGCTCCTCCTGTGACAGCGGCTTGTACACTGCTGGGTCCTCTGGGTACGGCTGCAAGGCAAAAAAAACATCCTCAATCAAAAGCTCTGCCACTGTTAGACATGATTCTAGGCCACATTCAGAATGCAGCTGAATGTGTCAAATACATATCATGTCGCCAGATTCTTGCCAATACAAGTGCACAATGATTCATGAATGGCGCCAGCGACAACAGCAGCCTGTTATGGCAGTTCCTATCATTGTTGTAGTTTTAGTGTGTTTTTTTTCTATTTTGTGAAAAAAAAAAATCTGTTTTCTTACTTTCTTACTACTTTGTTCACGTCGACTAAATACTTTTTCTGCGTTTTTGAGCACCTTTTATTTTTTGTTAACGCTGGTCTCCATGGCGACGGGGAGTCGCATTTTTTACACCCGCGACCAGATGATTGCCCTGAGGCACCCTAGCATCCTGACTGGAGAGAGACCCTCCATACCGGAGGAGCTGAGGAGGAGACGGCGAGGCTGCAGAGCTTGAGTTAAACGGAGGATGAAGAAGAGGAGGTTTAAACTCTACATCCCTGCAATCATCGAGCAGATACCGGGCTCAAACATCACCCCCTGCTCTCCTCATCCCCACTGGCGCGGGGTGAATCACCACAACTTGGAGTTGCAAGACAGAGGAGCTTACCTCATGGTTTCACTCCACCTGCCAAACTGTTTTAGATACTGTGGCTTAGGCAGCCTAAAACTAAATCTGAGCCCTGGCTGAATGACACGACTCATGCGGTCAGATGTGAGTGCCGTAGAGCTGAGCGCAAGTGGAAGAAGGACAAACTGCAGGTGTCTCTTCAAATGTTAAGGGACTGCTGGCGTCATTATCAGAAAACTGTGAAAGATGCTAAAAGAAAACATTTCTCGGATATTATCCTGACAAACTGTTTAACACTATTGACTCACTTCTGAATGCCCCACAGACTGCCTGTATGGAGGCGTCCCCTGCTTTGTGTGAAAACTTCCTTCACTTTTTTATGTGAAGGCTCAAATCTCACCTTCAGCTTATGACCCCTCAATCTCTGTCCCCTGCTCTGCTGTCTTTGACCATTTTGAGCCTGTGACTTTTTCCTTTTTACAGCAGGTTGTTGGTCATTTGAAGCCCTCAGGTTCTCCAAATGATGCTGTCCCCCCTCGACTATTTAAGGAGGTTTTTCCCACTGTAGGACCATCTGTTATTGCAGTCATAAATAGCAGTCTGACCTCAGGTGTGGTCCCTGAAAATTTTAAACATGCGGTAGTACAACCTCTGATTAATAAACCTGCTCTAGATCCTGCAGTTCTTGCTAATTTCAGGCCTATCTCAAAACTGCCTTTCCTTTCAAAAATTCTGGAGAAGATTGTGCAGTCAATTAATGGCCTTTCTGGAAGAACATAATATCCTAGAGGTTTTCCAATCCGGTTTTAAAACTCTGCACAGCACCGAATCAGCTCTCTTAAGAGTTTTTAATGACATCTTTTTAACTACTGACTCTGGTGACTGTGTTATCCTTGTGCTTTTAGATTTAACTGCTGCATTTGACACAGTGGATCATGAAATATTGATCTCACGTTTGAAGCAGTGGGTGGGCATCAGGGGCATAGCACTGGAGTGGTTCAGGTCATACTTGGCTGATCAAACTTTCTGTGTCAGCCTAGGTGACTCTGTATCCTCCTCTGCTTCTCTCTCGTGTGGGGTCCCACAGGGCTCAGTTCTTGGCCCTCTCCTTTTCTCTCTCTATTTTCTCCCACTTGGTTCCATACTTAGGAAGCACGGCTTCTCATTCCACTATTATGCAGACGACAGTCAGACTTATGTGCCTCTTAAAAAGAAAAATGAATACTCTGTCAGACTGCTACTTAAGTGTCTCGACGACATAACAGCCTGGATGGCTCTGAACTTTTTAAATTTCAATGATAAAAAGACAGAAGTGATGGTTTTTGGTGGTACCACTGGGACCCCCCCCTGCAGATCTGGGTTCCTTGGCCCAGTATATTAAACCTAGCATCACAAACCTAGGGGTTAAAGTGGACCCTGAGCTTAAGTTTGACAGTCAGATCAAGGCTGTTGTCAAATCAAGCTTTTTCCATTTGAGGCAGCTGGCCAAAATAAAGCCAATTCTATCAAGGCAGCACTTTGAGACGGTAATCCACGCCTTTGTTACCACTCGGCTGGATTACTGTAATGCACTGTATGTGGGGGTTAGTGGGTCCTCCATCGCCCGTCTCCAGATGGTACAGAATGCTGCTGCACGTCTTTTAACTGGCACACTGAGCACATTTCCCCCATTTTAGCCTCACTCCACTGGCTGCCTATTCAATTTAGGACCCATTTTAAAATTCTTTTATTTGCTTTTAAATCCCTGAATGGTCTTGCCCCGCCCTACCTATCTGAGCTTCTACACCCCTATATACCCGTCCGCTCTCTCAGGTCAGATGATCAGCTGCTCCTGAGTGTGCCTAAAACTAAGCGGAAGCTCAGAGGGGACCGTGCCTTTGCTGTGTCTGCTCCTAAATTATGGAATGATCTGCCTCTGCACGTTAAACAGGCCTCTTCTCTGTCTGTTTTTAAAACCTGTCTTAAAACCCATCTCTTCTCTGTGGCCTTTGACACCTAGTAAGGTGTCGACTTTATTTACTTGATTTAATTTCTTATTTTGATTGCTTTTTATTGTGTGGCTATTATTTTTACTCATGTTTTTCTGTCTTTTCATTTTATTGCTGTATTTTATATGTAATTTTTGCACCTCATGTGAGCTGTTATGTCTTTTATTTATGATGTCTTATTTATTCTCCTGTACAGCACTTTGGTCAACTTTGGTTGTTTTAAAGTGCTTAACAAATAAAGTTGGATTGGATTGGATTGAAAATGTGCCAGGCTGAACAGGCCTCATAGAAGATGGAGGTTTACCTTTCTGCAAGCGGGACAGAGACCGTTCTCATCTGTCCTGATTCGATGCCAGCAGAAGCGGCAGATCTGGTATCCACAGGTGCAGGGGAAGAAGTTGACGTCATCGATCTCCAGTGGTTCCATACACAGTGGGCACTCCATCTGGTCGTCCTTCACCTCAGGGTTCCGGGACATCCTACGGTTCCACACTACTGGACTGGACAGCTTTCACCAGACAGGGACAGGAGGAGCTGCAGACACTGGAACAAAGATAAACAGGAGCTTAGATGCACGTAAATGTGTTCAGCAAAATGTAATAACCATCTTCCTATTAGACAATGAGATATAGGGCTGCAATTAATTATTATTTTCAGTATCGATTAATCTGTTGATCATTTTCTCGATTAATGGATTAGTCAGAAATGTCAAAAGTGTGAAATCAATGTTTCCCAAAGCCCCAGATGACAACCCAACCCAGAAATAATCAGTTTACTGTCATAGAAGACCAAAGAAAGCCCCGAAAATGCACAGGGCTCATCAGGGTTTTCATATATCCTTCACACTGTATGTTTGATAGCTGAAAAGCTACTAATATTTTGTATTCATAATGTATTTTTCATTAGAGCTAAACATGTGGTTCCTGTTTGTTCTTATCTAGAAAATAAATATTCAACATTATAACTGATGCATTTTCATAAATACACATGACCTATAATTACGAGACATATTGTGTTATTCATGGCCTTGCTGCCAGAGTCTCAGCTTCTGCCTGTACCATGTTTTAGAGCCTTTGATAATCATCTGTGAAACAGAAAGTGTGCGTCCTGGTCATAGTTCAGTAATAAACCCTGACACATTATGTAGCGTCTCTCCTGGTTGGTTCCCTACAGTAAAAGAGAAAAAGTGCCAAAGTCTGGTCCATGAGTAGTTGAGAGCCAGTGAAGCTGAGAGCGGAAACAAGGGTAAAGGAACAGGGTCGCAGCTGCTCTGCCCTCTTCTTCAACCATCGAGACTTTTTTTTAAACTATATTTCAGACAGGATTAAAGTTTATAACCAGCACTGTTCATCATGGGGCTTCCTCACGCTGTACTGTGTTATCGTGCCAACAATTATTTGACAACAATGGCAAAGGTGAACAGTCTTAATACAGGACTCCTACATTATATTTAAAATATTTTGACTGCTTTATTGAAGCAGTTATATCGCTCTCTCCAAAGCTTCCAGACTCCATTGACAAAAACTGTAACATTACCTCTCAGAGCACGGGAGTTGTTAGTCTACCGCTGCCTCAATCTGCAGCCACCAACATTAGTTCAAACTAACCTGTTAAAAAAAACAAAAAGTCACACAATAACTCGGAAACTAACTGAACAAGACAGGTTTGTACCAGCAACTCGTAAGCAGTGGTGACTTAAAGGTTACAGAGCAAGCTTGTGGTTGTGAGGATGTTGGTTTAGTTCCTCTCTCCAGACTGGAGGCCAACTGCCCTCTACTGAAGGTAATACACTGATTATGGATAAGTACCTTATACAACCACACTTTAAAAAATGGTGAAACAGGACAACTTACACAATACATGTTGCTTTCATAAAATATAGTGAGATAGAGTATTTATATTAATTTACTCAATTTTGTTATCAAATATGTTTGTTAAGGCCAATCACAGAAAGTCACAAGGATTTGAGTCAATGATTTAAAAGGTTAAACAATGAGCAGTAAGGGCGCTTAAAGTGCTGCTTTCCAGTCGGTGATGTGCATATTCACTATGAGTCACAACCATGCTAATGAAGCTGTCATTATGTAGCTGTGTCACAGAGGGCTGGAGAGAAGATGTTCAACTTTGTTTGGATCAGTCTAAGTGGCCAATTAAACTGCTCTAAAAACCTCTGCAGGCAGTCACTGCCGGTTAATTGGCAAGAAATTGGGTGATTTCACAACACATGATTTACTTTAATGCATGGCTGGGTATTCTGCTAATGGACAGACAATGAACAAAACTGCAACACTAAACCAGTCTGACATTTTGTGCTCGGTGTAAGATTTTCAAATGGAGTTTAGATAAGCTTGTGCTGTTTCTGAGAGTCAGATTTAGCACTTTCTAATGAGACTGTAGATCCCACTGCACACACTCTACTAGAGAGATCCAGTAGGGAGTACAAGGGAGACCTTGTGAGAATAGCTGTGTTTCTATCCAAATTTTACCAAATTTTGAGTAAAGTAAAACATTTTGGCAAAAGAAAATGCAAATGAATGCATGTTTCCATCCACTACCGTTACGCAATTATTAGGAGTCAGTTCAACAAGATAAGCAGTATGTGGCACCAATTCTCCTGTCAGGAAACCAGAAGAGAGGGTTAAAAGAGGGCCAGTGGGAGCCCAAACAGTGAAAAACACTGCAGAAAACAGGATGGAATTAAGACATTTTTCTTTGGTTCATGTATTTAAAAGGACCAGTGTGCAGGACTTAGTGGCATCTAGTGGCGAAGTTTCAGACTGCAACCATTTGAATACAACTCAGCCTTCCAAGCATCGAGGAGAAACTACGGTGGCCGCAAAAATTAGCAAAGAACATGAAACCATCTAGAACATGGTGGATTAACATAGCAGCCCCAGTGGATGTAAACTGCTAATTCTAAGGTATTATACAGTAATGAAAACATACCTATGAACAACTTTCTGCCAATAGATCCTCCTAAATGTTACACACTGGACATTTAATGTGAGGAAGGCTCCATCAGATCTGTGTTAAGCGATCATTGAGTACAGGCTGTGGCTGAGAGGTAGAGGGGGTCGTCCCCGGCTCCTCTCGCTTAAGCAAGACACTAAACCTGTGCATCAGTGTATGACTGTGGTCACATACGCTTAGAAAACAATTAGTTTCCGTTCTGGTGAGCAGTGGGCCTTGCATGGCAGCCACTGCCATCAGTGAATGTAGTGTACAGCACATTGAGTGGTCGAAAGACTAGAAAGGCGCAATATAAGTACAGTCCATTTACCATTTACCCATGATGATTGTCGACTTTTGAGACTGATGAAGAGGAGGCTGTCGGAGAGCAAACAGCTCATCAAGTTTCAGGTAAAATTTTTCCATTAAATGGAACAGAGCCTTAATTAGTATCATTGGAAACACCTGTGCTTAGAAAACTATTTCATGTCAAAATGGCTGCTGTGAAAAAGTTTTTTTCTAAATATGAACCCAAAACCTGAAATGTAGTTGAACTCACTGCTGTCAAACCAGCTCCAAGCAGGCAATAAACAAGAAACCCAACCAGACAACCAGGACACATAAATCTGCCAGGTTTTGTCCCCCAAGGACCCTTTAAAATCCTGCACAGCACCCGAGTATAACTTGTTAGAACTACTCAATCTACTGTAGTAGTTTAAAGCTGCAGACTTTATACATTGGCTCAAATTCATTTGAGAGGGTAAGGACTTCAGTGGTCTAAAAAAAGTGTGGCAAACACAGCAAACCTGCCATCACACTATAGAGAACTAAAAGAGACAAGAAATAAGCTTCAACTTCTCTGAAAAGTGCTTATTATACACTATTTTGGAGACATAACACATGTTAATAAGAAGTTTTGGTTTCTCATTTTCACAACAAAATCACAACCTTCCCTTGCTACTGAGGGTTTGTCGTAGTTAGCTCAGGCTAATGTTAATCAGATACAACACCTGAATCATGTTTTATTTAATTTCTCAAATTGTGGTATTCCCAAATCCATGCTTCTCCCTTCAGAGACCTGTGGATGATGGTACAGTTGCTACGTCCTTGTCAGATGGATAGCCTGCTCCCGACACACAAACAAAACAGGAAACTTGACAGCTTGAAAAAGACTGGCTAATTGGTAAGGCAGTGGACAAGTGCAGTCTGACTTTGTGATTTAAGACAGGTCAAACAACAAACTACAACATCTTCTTCTTCACTAATGGGAAAACACTTCGGTACTCCCTCTGTCCTCTTACTGATGAAGTACCTAGGATTTCCATGTAGGTCTATCCCAAGCAGCAGGGCTGGGAGTGAGCGGATGACAGCTAAAAATACCCTGCCCGTCCTGAGCGTGTGTGGGGGTGGAGTGAGCTGAGGCTTCTCTCTTTTAAGGGGAAGTCCAGATGGGCAGCAGCGGTGCTCCTGCAGCCTCCCCTTTCCTCCCCACTGGACATGTATGGTCATCACTGGCTCTTCCAGCAGCTCGGCACAGGGAGCCGCTTTGCAGGCTGGCTGCCGCTACATGAAATGAGTCTGAATAGCACACTGCGTGAAATTAATAACAGCATTTTTAGTGAGGCCGGCATTACTGCAGGTGCTAGGCTCATATATCCTGAGATCCTCACTGGAGCCGACAGAGAGAAATATTCACTTAAACAGCCACCAAATCTCTCAGCTATAGTCAATAGTCAGATAATGAGAGACCCAGGTCCCAAATGTGCTTTTAGTGACACATTTAGTGCCCTCACCAACAACAACCTCCCTCAATACACAGCTGGTCTGCATGTAACATAGCACAAATATGAGGCAGTAAACTCACTGGACTATAAGCTGAACTATTTTCAACACAATTATAGTAATTATAACAAAGTAATGAACTTTCTCCACATTCTTTAAGTTGCAGCAGCACAGACCAGCCGGTTACTTGGTTAGACCTCTGCTCTGTCTCCTCCTGCTCTCTATGATAAGCTTCATTGTGTGGGAAGGAGGAGGGCTGTGGGGGCTGCAGCTCCCCTGCTGGAAAGAGTGAAAGAAAGTGGACATATTGTCTTACCTTTTAAAAAAAATCTAGCGCTGGGTTTAATTTTGCGTATGATCTTAATAGCTGAAATGACTGCTGTAACTCTTCAATAGGCACTTGCTTTTTGCTCTGATAAGCGCAGGGGTGAGGTAGGCTGTGTAGTGTGTATTGAGAGGGGAGCTCTAGTAACAGTCTCAGTTAACAGTTCTAACTTTATAATGCAACAATTAAATAACCCAATGTTAACTCTCTCTAACTGGGCAAAACACCATGGCACAACAATCTGTTTCTTGCTTTAGCAATAGAATATTTGAGAAACATTTATCTGAATAAATACTTATTTTATTTAAGTTTATAGTTTTTTTAAAAGACTTTGAAAAGCAATGTTAGAGATGTTGGCCTCTCTCTCATATTTTAAGGCAGAGGCTATATTAATCAAAGCCGTCAGTATATCAAGATGACATCAGGGGTGGATCTAGAGGGGTGTCATGGGGTAGCAGCAGCCACCATGAAAAAATGCCTTTCCACC